ATTACCCAGTTTGTTCATCTGTCCCTGCCAAGACCTTGACTAACAAACTGGGTATATTTGGAGCCAGCAAAGACCCAAACATGATAACATTTGATTGAGAAATTGAATGGCTTAGAGGAATCTGTAGCTTGAGTGGTTTAAGTTTATTTACCATTGCATAAGAGTGGCTTGAAATATGAAGGAAGTTGGCATGGAATTAAGGAAACATCATTTAGAAAGATTTTCATTAATTTAGACAGTATTTATTGAAGGTCTATTACCTATCATGCCCCAAAGAGTATTCAAGGTGTTGGGGGAAAAGGACAAATCCTCGCCCTCATGACTCACTATCCAATAGCAAGAAACACACATGTAAAAAGTCACACAAAGCATCATGGGCACTTTACTAGAAGTCTGGGCTGGAGACAGAAACTTTAAAAAAAAATTTTTTTTTCGAGACAGGGTTTCTCTGTAGCTTTGGCGCCTTTCCTGGAACTCACTCTGTAGCCCAGGCTGGCCTCAAACTCACAGAGATCTGCCTGCTTCTGCCTCCCAAGTGCTGGGATTAAAGGCGTGCGCCACCACTGCCTGTCGAGACAGGAACTTTTTAATGATCATCGTATAATAAAGGCTAGAATAGGAGATGGAGAAGAAATAATTAGGACACTAGTTGAGGTACATTAAGTGGTTAACATGTCTTTGCCAATGTGCTCTCAATTGTTTTCGCAGGTCTGTGGGGTTCTAGTATTGTCGTGCTTTGTAGATGAGAGGGAAAGGCTGGAAGGCTTTCAGCTATTTGCCTAAGTTTGTGCAGCTAGCAGGTGTGAAAGACAGCGCGGAACCTGGCTTAGCTCCTGAGCTGGTTCTACCGCTGGTGTGCTCAGTGAGGCAGGAGCAGAACCAGGGTGGAGGAAAATGCTGAGAGATCAAATAAATGGATGACCAACAAGACCCTATTGGATCCCATAATTAAAAGGCTTGACATGAACTTGGCCTGCAGTTTCATTAGCAATGTGGTAGTAGGGGAACTCATTCTAAAGGGTCAATGGGAGGTGGGGAAATAGAGACTTTGTTCCCCCAAGAGTTCGTTAAGAAGTTACCGGCATGGAACCTTTAGTTACAGCAGGTAGATCTCTGAGTTTCAGGCCAGCCTTCTCCATATAGCTAGTGATAGGTCATCAGGGCTATATAATGAAACCCTGCCTCAAAAAAAAAGCCCGAGGAGTCTAATATAGTAGTGGCTGTGGAGAGAGGGCTCTGGATTTGTCAGCAGCAGTATGGAGAGACCAGTGTTATAAAACCCAAGGGGATGGGTAAACAGAATGGATGGTGTTGGTGTTAAGGGTGGAGAAGTTAGTATGTATCTATGGTAACCAGGGAACCGCTTTCAGGGTTGCTGCCAATAGCTTAGGGGTAGGTAGGAGTGGTTGGCGATGTGGGTAGTGCAGCAGGAGCCCGACTCAGCCATGGGTGGACACACAGACAGGGGCATGGTCCTCAGGCTAGGTTGCAGTCCCCGGTAGTCCATCTGAGGCTGGGAGGAAGACAAGGGCAAAGGAGTCCTCTCTGAGGACTTAGGCAGGATTTCCAGGAGGCTGGGTTCCACTTCTTCACAGGTATCGGTAACTGTGGCCTTAGGCTGAGAGAGATGAGCAAAAGGAGCTAGATTAGGCAGGCAGGGTGCACACCTTTAATCCCAGTACTTGGGAGGCAGAGGCAGGAGGAGCTCTGTGAGTTTGAGGTCAGCCTGGTCTGCAGAGCGAGATCCAGGACAGCCAGGGCTGTTATATAAAGAAACTTTGTCTTGAGGGGGGGAAAAAAAAAAGCAAAACAAGAGCTGAGCTGAGTTAGAGCTGATCTTAGGGTTTGGGGTGGGCTGGATTATATAATAATAATTAGGCTAGGGAGTAACACCTACGGATAGCACATGTCTAAGCAAAGACCATGAACAAGTTGCATTGTGGGAACAAGAGTCATTGGTGGTGGGGTGACTGGAGAAGGGATAGTTGGGGCGTACTCACAGGACTTAGGGCTGCAGTGTCTCTAAGGTACTGGCCTAGGACCCGGTGTAGGTCTGGAAGGGAGGGCCACACAGCATGCCTCAGTCTTCTACCAGAGAAGGAAGAGAGAGGAATGTGACTCGGGACTGAGCTGGGAGTGATGAGGAGGTACCAAAGTGGGAAGTAGGAGAGACAGTGAGGCAGAGAGCGAAGTTTGGAGAGACGGGCCATCGTCACAGCATGCTGGCCTTCCCCAACACTGCCCACACCAGCACATCTTCCTTCCCCATCACCCTCT